TGATGCCGTGTCCGGCCGGAGCGACAAGACATAAACATTAAAACCCATTACAAACAAGGCATTTGTTGCATCCAGTGGGGACATAAATTTTGCAACTTTACAGATCTTCTTTATGCACCAAGAGCTTGTAACACTCTAAAGAGAAAGGAAAAAATGAAATCGCATCATATGACCCCTTTAATGCTTTTACTTGTTTTGAAAAATACGGTTGCTATTGCTAACAAGTGGCTAAATGGGACTACAGAGTTTGTTAAACTTGTTCATACTGAGCAGATAAACTCATCTACTCATTAGTCACTTTCACAGCCTCATTGTGTTTATAATCACGCTCTTACAAACTATTCTGCAAACTTTTGAGTTTGCCTACAAAAATAGACAATATTGTCCCTAGGTTTGATTTATCCACCTTATTTTTTAATGCTGAAGTAAGCTGTTTTCTGTGAATGTGCGAGACTTACAGTTCATTATTCGCAGTAGGGAAATAACGAGAAGAATAACAAAGTGCAGTAGACGGTAAAACCATTTGCACTACAAACCACTGTGTTCATAATTAAGATAATACATTAAAAAAAGGTAAGACACACCATTTAGCAATATCAAGCAGCAAAACGAGCCGTTTTGTTCAGCTAAACATAGCTGGACGCGAATGACGCCGGAAACCAGTCCCATAAAATTTCAAATGGCCGCGCCCACTTTTACAGGAAAAATAAGGTGGATAATGTTGTGTTAATAGTTTTATGTTGCAAGAATTTCACATTCAATCTTCAGCTTAATGTAGAAACAACATAAGGACAGTATGTTTTTAATATTTGTTTAATGGCATCTTTTTTTATGACAATGCAAGTATCACTGATACCAATTTTATTGATGTCTCTATGAAATTAGAATTTTTTTCCCTCTTATATTTAACCCTTGACTATAGCCATTCAACAGTATAATTGAGAGCTATCAATTTTAACATTTATTAGATTTATACAAATAAAATAACTTCTAATTTAAGTGAACTTAAAACAATCTTCACACAAACCCATTATAATAAATGTCATATTTACCTGTGCCCTTCAGCAAGTAGGAAATCTACAGCAATTGAATAAAGCTATCAAACACTAAATTCTAAAATGAAATATAGATGAATCCTTAAAGCTACAAAAGTTATTGATTTCCTCTTTTTTTCTTTTGTTCTTTGATTAACAGACACCACTGCAGCTGGATATTACGTTATTTGGCTGCTATTACTCTAAGAGCTGCTGCAACTGAACATGACGCGGATCTGACATGCATGCTTTTCATTTCATTCGCGCTTTAATATGAAATGATACAGGCTACAGCGCGCGATGGCATATTTGTGAGTGCAATTGAAGAGCACACGCTATGAGCATAGTAACGGCTGACAGGAAGATTAGTTTTTACTGACATATGTCACCTTTTCTGTTTCCGCGATCGTTTGACTAGCACCTGGCACTGAGGTGAAGTTGAAGTGCGCGTCTGAAAAGTCCCTCTTTTGATGTGGTGGAAATGATGTTCTGCATTTAAATAAACGCAATTCTTTTCAAGAAAAAAGAGACAGAATCAGCAGCTGCGAGTGGGGTGGCCAACCTCCGCCCCGGCGTTAATTGCGTTAAATATTTTTAACGCCGTTAAACTGGAAAAATTAATCACCTGCGTTAACGCGCTAAATTTAGACAGCATTGTTTTATACTGATAATTCTGTATGCATGCTACAATGATGAGACAAATAATCGTTAACTAGATGATGCAGGATTTTCACCAGTGCTATTGTTTAGCTTCTTGAAGTGGTAGCTAATACGGGTTGGCTGGGCTCCTCAGAGGACAAATGTCCAGAGCTCGGAGATTGAGTTTCATTTAATTTCTCTCCGGTTTGAATCGTTTTGAAGGGCTCTCCATAATTTTTCATCATGTGAGATGAATGGAAGAGTTAGATTTATTAGGCCGCTGTAGTTCTTAGGGCAGCCTTGCAAAGAATGTTCCAGGATGGGGGTTTTTGATCGTAAGTGCTGGTGCTTTGGTTCAAAGCGGGATAGAATGAACTCCTGGTGGAAAGACACTCTTTCGACGGCTCTCCAAAGCTGTCATCTCTGGAAGACCTCTCAAGGAGACTCTTCCTTCGGTTGCTTCATTTTTATAATCATTTCCATCAGCTCGCAATTTCTCTGCCTCTCTTGTTCTCTCTCAATCTTTTTATTTACGTATACTACCAGTCAAGATAAAGATTTTTTAAAATGTTTTTGAAAGAAATCTCTTATGCTCACCAATTTTTTAAATCCCAAATACAGTAAAAACAGTTAAATTGTGAAATATTATTAAAATTCTAATTAACTGTTTTCTATGTGAATATATTGTAAAATGTAATTTATTCCTGGGAAGCAAAACTGAATTTTCAGCATCATTACTCACATGCTGATTTGCTGCTTAAGAAACATTTCTGATTATTATCAATGATGAAAACAGTTGTGCTGCTTAATATTTTTGTGGAAACCATCATTTCAGATTTTTGAACAGCATTTATTTGAAATAGAATTTTTTATAACATTAAATTGTCTTTATTGTGACTTCTAAACAATTTTATGTCTCCTTCTGAATAACAATATTAATTTCTAATTAAATTCTGTATGTATTTTTGTCATTTTTATTAGTTTTTTTTGTTTCTTTTTTATATTACTATAGGGTTCATGTATTTTTATTGCACTTTAAGTTTTCATTTCAGTTTTCAATTCAATTTTTATTTATTTCACTTAGTAATTTTGGTGCTTCAGCTTAAACATATTTCAGTTAGTTGCCAAGGCACCAAGGCGACTTTTTAAAATTTTTATTTAGTTTAAGTCTAAAATATTTCTTCTCTCTCTCTCTCTCTCTCTCTCTCGCTCTCTCTTTCTCTCTCTCTCTCTCTCTCTCTCTCTCTTTATATATATATATATATTTATTTCTCTAATATTTATATTTACTTTTTTTTTTCCAGCTATGTCAGATCAAAATGTTTTAGTTTTCTATAATAACCCTGGTTGTAATGTGCAGGAACAGAATTTTTCTAAAAACAATCCACTTTCTCTTCTTCTCTCCACTTCTGTTTTCCAACTGTGCTTTATTTTTTCCTTAAGACACTGAGAATGGCAAGTGATAATATCTGTCTTCCTGCGTCTCTAAGGATTGAGGATTAAAAAGAAGCAGATCTAGAGAGATAAATGTCGAGAAAAACCAGCGCATATGAGATGGTTAGAATGAGATAGAGCTGCTGTATGAGACTAAAGAACCTCACCCAGATAGGAACACACACACCGTCTGCTTTCTCTGTAGACTTGTTTACGGTCTTGAACGGCTCAGTGTTTTTGAAGACATCTTTTAATGAACAATACCCAGCCGCTGACCTGTATTTTTCATTCAATGAAAGCTCCCCCTGTAGCAGAGAGACGCGACCGCTTTGGAGATGATTTACCTCTAAAGACAGACTATAAGCACGTACAACCAGCCTTATCGAGCGGCCTGTGAAGAGCATAGTGTTGAACTCTTACCTTGTCTTGTGTAAAATAATATTTGTTGAACTTTTCAGAATGTTATTGGCAAAAACTTATATCAAAGTAAATGTTATATGGGAGTAATTCTCAGGAAATGGTGCCATTTGTGTGCTGTGTGTGTGCGTCATTGACTTACTATTGATGTGAATACACTGCTGTTTAAGTTTGGGGTCTGTTTTTGAAAGATTTAATACAGAATTTTGAAAGAATTCATACTTTTATTTAACAAGAATTCATGAAATTGATCAAAAGCGACAGCAAAGACATTTATAATATTACAAAAGATTTTAGTTTCAAATAAATGCTGTTCTTTTGAACTTTCTATTCATCAAAGAATCCTGAAAAAAATATATATCATGGTTTCCACAAAAATATGTAGCAACAACTATGATATGTAGCAAATCAGCATATTAGAATGATTTCTAAAGGATCATGTTACACTGAAGACTGGAGTAATGATGCTGAAAATTCTGTTTGATCAGATGAAAAAATTTAATTTTAAAATGTATTATAATAGAAAACACTTATTTTAAATTGCAATAATATTTCACAATATTGAGGTGTTTTTTTAATCAAATAAATGTAGCTTTGGTGGCCATAAGACTTCTTTAAAAAAATGGCTATGTATAAATATGGATATAAAAGGATTAATACATGTGAATTTTGAGTAAATATTGTGTGAAATCAGTTCTCATTGGGGGTTTAATAGTTTATGAAAGGGCCATTGAAAACTTATATTTGTTAAATAGAGATCTCCCTGTGCTGCTTCTGTAATATCTGGACCTGTTACTTTGAGCCTGAGCTGCTGCAATACTGGTTTCTTGAACCGTTTTGAACAATAATACAAATACTACAAATTTCCTGAGAACAACTCATGAGTCTTTGGTTGTAATTGCTTTCAAAAGCTGCTAGAGCTCATAATAAGGTTTTAACTCTTAAACTGCATAGATTCACACTGAAGTGTTCACACAGAGACAATCACTCTGAATCAGCGCTGTGATCACATGTTCATAGTTAATGCATGCATATATGCATATGTTTGTGCATACCGTATGTTGAAATGGTTTTTGACGAGGACTACTTCATTAACAGCTACAATAAAAGAAACAATGATTTGAAATGAAACATGGTGTGTTATTTAAATTGCATATCTGATTTCTTTTCAATAACCTCAATATGGCGCAACAGCTATCCATTGAAAAGAAAAAATGTCACCTTTGTGCTAATGCAATCAGAAGTAATGTTTTTCTGTGCTGTTATTACCATTACAATTTCAATCTATTTTACCTTGCACCTAAGCACACGCTCTCTCTGCATCTAGAAAAAATGTGTCAGGATTGCGTCCGCATTTGATTGTAAATTGTTTTTTTTAGAGCATGAGTGTCTGAAGAGGGATCTTTAAGTGTTGTTTTATAAGGTAGACCTGCATTTTTATGCATCACTCACTCTTTTAATATTCTCTCTCTGCAGGTGTTGTCTAGTTTGCATCCTGAGTGTGAGTATATCTTTCAGCTGGCAAGAGATGAACAGCGGTGTCTCAGAGAGATCACAGATCTTGGAAACCTCAGCAGCTCTTCAGGTAGAAATAAACAGACGCTCCTGATGAGATGTTGAAGGGGTTTTTACCCACAGCATGTGAGATGCATGCTAAACAGCTCTGAGTTCCAATTGAGAGCTAATGGAGACTTTTGTTGCTTCTCAGATTTTTCTCCTCAAACTGTGTTTGAGATACTATATTTCTGCAATCAAAAGGTCTCAATATGCACATTTCTCAGTTTTATCCAAGGCTAAATTACATGACCGTTCAAAAGTTTGGCGTCATTAAGATTTTTAAATGTTTTTGAAAAGAAGTCTTCTTTTCATTTAACACTGCCATAAGCTGTCAGTGGTGACATTCAGAGACAGAGTTGAGTACGAGATCACACTCATCGTAATGCAGTGCCTTGCGTTTGCGTTTCCCAGTGGATCCCAGAAGTGAAGTCGTGTTTGGCAGCAGCTTTGCAGGAGATTCACATGCACAGATGTACTTGTGGTGATCCAACATGGCAAACTGGACATTGATAGAGCAAACTCTAGCTGTTATGTGCCACAGAAAGCCTTTCGGATACATTGTTTTCTTGATGTTTGGTGCTTGAGTGCATGGGTAAAAACATTCTCTTTGTGTGTGTGTGTGTGTGTGTGTGTGAGAAGGTTGTCTGCCAGTATGGGATGCTGTAGTGTGTTGGCCCAGAGCTGCAGTGGGTGAGACGGTCCACTTGCACTGTCCTGCTGTTTTCTCTCTCTTCAAGAACAACACAGGTGTGACACACATACACACCATCCACATCAAACTTGTGCATTATTCAAAACTGAAGTTAAAAATGACAGTTCAGTACCTGAATGTGAATTAGGTAAAGGTGGCAAACTGGATGCATAATTGTAATCTTAATTTAAATTGAAATACATAGATAAATAGGATTAATAACTGACATTTGAGATATAATAATTCATATAACATTGTTTGGCAAATAAATAAAATTAAACTTTTTCATTTATCAAATACTATTGATACGTCATTTTCTGTGTCTGTATATATTCATACATATACATACATATATATATATATGTGTGTGTGTGTATCATATTTTATATGTATTTAATTAAGAATTAAATTAAAACGTTGGACTGTATTAGTTACAATCCAAATGCAAATAAATGTATGTATCAGTATTATTTGATTCATTATTATTATTTTTTTTATTATTAAATATCCATCCATGCATGTTATTATTATATTAATAACCAACATTTCAGATAACAATTCATATAACAATATTTGTTAAATAAATATATTGAATTATTAATTAAAATATTGTATTATATGACTAACCAATTCAATTTGATTAAATGTTTTAATGTGATTTATCCATGTACATTATTTTATAGCATTAAATTAAAACATTGAATTATTATAATAACCGACATCTGAGATGTAACAATTCATATAGCAATATTATTTGATAAATTAAAATGATCAAAAAAATTATCCATGCATGTTTTGAATTATTAAATTAATTGTTAATTTAATTATAAAAAAAAATATTGGATTTTTTTTTTAAATAAGCAACATTTGAGATGGTAACTATATTTAATGCTACTTAATTAACTAACTTTAATTTAATGGAATAGTTGAAAACTATTAAAAAGAATGTTGTGGGCATTTTGTGGTGCTTTTTGGCAAAATTAAAACATTTTCGATTGGCAGTGTTAATTGTTTTGACATCACTAATAGCACTTAATGAAATACACGTAATAGAAACATAATTGGGCAAATTATGTGCTTATTTTTGTTTTGATAGATCTCAAAATGTCTGGAACAGAATGTCATGGAGATTTATTGGTTGACTCTTTGGATTCGAGAAATCGAAATGTTTCTGTCTAATGAATTGAAAGAGAGTTTGCACAACCCTGCTCCATACATGCATTTCCACATTAACAGCTTCTGCGAGCAAACCAATTGGTTTCAGTCTGTGAGCTTTAACAATAGACACATCTACCTTGAGCATATAAATGGAATCCTCAAATGGTAAAATGCACAGCCTCAATTTCAAGGCTTTGTAAGTTTGAGCCAAAGAAGGCAGGCTTTCATATTTGCCAGTGTAATAACATTGGAGTCTCCACAGATCTGCCAGTATAACAAACTAAACCCGGTCTGAGCCCGGCCAAACGCTGCATTCAAATCTGAAAGCTCTCAAATGAAATTGTGCTGCTGCAGTTTCGTCTGATGGCGACTAAAGCAGCACTCCATCATTGTATCTCTGTCTCGTGTAGAAAAGGATACAGACCTCATTTCACATTCAGCTTTAGCACAAGCTAACTTTATGCATTGCATCTCATTCTCTAGAGAAAAAGTCAGTGCAAATCGCATGAAATGCCAACTTGTGTTTATTCATTTATTTTGAAGAACCTTTTTTTTTTTTTTTTTTTTTTTTACCTTTTTTTAAAAAGCTTGCAGAACCATCATACAAAAAGGACATTGAGCTTTGAGAAATTAATTTATGATAAAATGTCTATGATAAAATCCCACAAACAAGCAAATTAACAATATTATTGTTATTAAAATTGTGATGTAATGGAAGTATTAAATGTTCCTTTCTCTGGTATTGTGACGAACATCTAAATGAAACAAATCATGGCATTTTGTAACCAGAGCACGGCTGGCGGCTGGTCACATCCGTTCCCTCCTTACCATGAGGCCTGCATTGTTGAGGATGAAATCCCCGAGGTCAGACATATTCTGAAATTCATACTCGCATATATTTGATAATCATTTCCTATTTATCCATACGCTTTTGCTTAAATCCCCTGCTTCTCAGGTTGTTCTTCCGAGTAAAAAACACCGTAATCTCACATGAGCCTCCTCTAGTTTCAGAAGAGATCTCAACGACGTCTCAAACTGTGCTTAGATTTGTAAAGACAGTCAATAATCTCAAAATGAACTCAAACATTTCACATCAAATTATTCCAAGACCAATAGCTCTATAGTCGTACTGTATGTCAACAATTGTCTTTTTTTGTTGACAATTTTAGACATCTGAGACAATTGAATCTTAAATGAAACATAATTGAGATCTTTAGCCATATGCATACAGTATATCATAATTCTCACTGGGAAACGTACTTATAGTTTTAAAAGTGCTTTGAAAGTGTTTCATTTTATGATGAAATAAATTGTGTTAATGTACAGTATAAATAAATTAATACATTAAGAAGTAATTAAATTTACAAAATCATTTTATTGACTAGATTGAAATCAAGTAACATTTCTTAAATTATTTTTTATATTTTATTATATTTAATATTTATATGTATGTAATCTTTCTTTCTTTCTTTCTTTCTTTACTAAAGATGAAAAATTATTTTTCAGAATAAACAGGGTTTAGGCTTTCACAATCATGTCTGTCTCCATTATTGTAGTCGGCTTATAGTTCAAAAAGTTTTCAATTTAATTATGAAATAAATAAATAAATAAATTTAGTTAATTTACAAATAAATTAATGCATTCATTATAAAGTAATTGAAATGACTAAAATATTTAAAAGACTCAATTTAATTTTTTTTTTTTTTTTAAACAAAAAAAATAAATAATAATATTTTAGTATGCTTATTTTGAGGCTTTAGGCTTTCACAGTTATGTCTGTCTGTCATAACTGGTAATTAAATGAAATCAAATTATTTTTCATTCATTCATCATTTCATCAAGTGTTGGATTTATTGGCTGAATGATGTGCAGATTGATTGATTTACCTCTTTATGTTTATTGTATTTAAACAGACTCTCTGAACTGAACAATGTAATTGATTTCTGCACGTTTATCCCTTAGGAGTCATATTTTGCCACTGTGAAACTGATCTACACTGTTGGTTACGGAGCGTCACTGCTGTCGCTCTCTGTTGCCGTGGTAATACTGCTGCTCTTCAGGTACTGCGCTTTACAATGCTTTCTTACCATAGATGCAAACTCCTCACCTTTAGGTGACAACTCACTTTTTTTAGATCAAAATAGGTCATGGATTTTTTTTTTTTTAAAGATTAATTTTTTGGCATTTTTATTTTGATAGGACAGTATATCAGTGACAGAAAGCGAAGTAGGAGAGCGAGAGGGGGGCGGGATCGGGAAAGGTCCACAAGCCGGGACTCGAACTCGGGACGCCCGGAACGCAACGGCACTATATGTCGGCGCACTGCCCACTAGGCTATTTTATCCAAGTATATATTTTATCCATGTTATGTCGGTGCCGACATAACATGGGATTTTGAACAAGATGTTATTTTTTTGTGTGAAAAATTAGTTTTGGACATATAAGGCAATAAAACAATATTTTTAAAAATACCTTAAAGTAACTACAATTGAGCATGTAAAACAAATATCTTTAAAAAAAAATCCATGTGGAGCATGCCCCCGGTTCTCGCCTTTTTTCCCCTTTACCTGTTTGCATCTCTGCTTACTGATGGACTATAAAAAACCAACCCCCAAATCCAACACACATCACTGATATATATGTTATTATAAATAATTGCTTTAATGTAGTTAGATTTATGTGAGTACCCTTTAGCATGTCTAGCTACCTTTTTACACAAACTTGTCATCTTTACCTCTTTAAATAAGCTTGTAGCTTGGAAACTATTTTTAAAGTAGTTACTGCAACACTGGACAAAGGCTCAACTGTTGTTTGTATTCTATAGGCGATTACACTGCGCTCGAAACTACATCCACATGCAGCTGTTTTTCACCTTTATCCTGAAATCGGTGGCTGTGTTTGTCAAAGATGCTACGCTGTTCTCCAGTGACGACACGGATCACTGCACACTCTCCACAGTGAGTCCATCAACGCCACTGATCTAACAGCCTTTAAATGTGGTTTCCTGTGAGAAGAACAAAACACACGCTGCTTGTGTGCCTCAATGACTCAACGGATCTGTGACAGTATTTATATTTGACATTCCTCCTGACTCCATTCATCATCTTATTTTGGATGCGATTAATCGCGATTAATCATTTGATATATATATTAATCTTTCATATACATATACTGTATATATGGCACATCCTTGTGGAATAAAAGTATTAATTACTTTCTTAAAAAAATAATACTGACCCCAAACTTTTAAATGGATTAGAGGTTACGCACCTCTGAAAAATTCAGAAAAAACACACACCTACTAAAAAATAAAAATTTCGGACCCTAGTTAACACTTGCGTCGTGCCTGGCGCTGCATTGCACCGCGTGTATGATAGGGCCCATAGTCCCGTCCCAACTTCACGCTATTGGCTACATGAATGTTGCTGTGTCAGTGTTTATAATGGTTGTGGCAGAAGCTAACAAGAAATTAGTTTTATCCCTTCTAGCCTTAACCATTTGTAATGTTTGGTGGAATTGACCGACATGTATCTATATATAATAGGACGAAGTCTTTCACAAAGTCTTTTCACTATCATTTAAAAGTGCGATTTTCTTTATTTTTTTAAAATTAATACTTTCATTCAGCAAGGATGCATTAAATTAATCAAAAGTGACAGTAAAGACATTTATAATGTAAACATTTCTATAAAAATCGGATCATGGAAAAATCATAGGATCATGTGACACTGAAGACTGGTGTAATGATGCTGAAAATTCAGCTTTGCATCACATAAATAAATTCCATTTTAAAATATATTATAACAGAAAACAGATATTTTAAATTGCAATAATATTTCACATTATTACTGTTTTTACTGAATTTTTGATCGCATAAATGCAGGCTTGGATAGCATAAGAGACTTCTTTCCAAAAATTAAAACATCTTACCAACCCTATTTCTTTGAATAGTAGCATATGTATGTAAAGAATAATGTATGTGCTTTGTGACACGTCGCAGCCCCTCTAGGGTTTTATTTTTGCAGTAATGTCCATTTTATTACTGATGCATGCTTATTTCTGAAACCTATTATTTTTCTCACGTTAGCAGCTATTACAGTCTCACTGACTCCAATCAGTGAAGTACAGCATGATCCTTTTGTTGTTTTGTTACTCAATTTCCATTTATATTCTCTCTCTCTCTCTCTCTCTCTCTCTCTCTCTCTCCTGCTCTCTGTTACCCTGGGAGGGCTGAGGAGTGTCAGAACAACTCTTGTGATTGGCATCTCTATCGTCTCTGATTTGAGCAGACAATTGAAAGAACAAACACAAGTTCAAATCACATTGTCGATGCAGTTCTCAACATAGACATGTGCAAATCACTGTTCTCGTTCTTATACATGTTCCTGGTTTTATTGTGATCGATGCATCAGTGCATGTTATTTTATAGAATTATTTTTAGTTTTAACCTTTTATATCTTTATATATATAAATATATACCATATTATATATATATATAAATCTATGTATATATAGATTTAAATTTATTCTTTTAGCATACGCTTTTATCCAATGCGACTTACAATTGAGGAATACAATAAGCGATTCATCAGTGATGCAGTGCTTGCAATACAAAGTTTCAGGCATTGTTCAGATTAGTACAAGCTAGACAGGGAGAGATTAAGGAGAGAGAAAGCAAAGTTTTTTTTCTATTTTATTTTTTTTAAAGATGAAGTCAAATGGTGACGAAAGAGATGAGTTTTCAGATGTCGCTTGAAAATTGTCAGGCATTCAGCATTCCGGGTAGGAGTGGGAAGTTCATTCCACCAGCCAGGAACGGTGAACGAAAAAGTTCTGGAAAGTGATTTTGTGCCTCTCAATGATGGTACCACGAGGCATCGCTCACTTATAGATTTCAGACTTCTGGAGGGGATGTAGATTCGTAATAGTGAGTGAAGTAGGCGGGTGCTGAGCCTGTGGCTGTTCTTTATGAAAGCATCAATTTCTTGAACTTGATGCGAGCTGCAACCGGTAGCCAGTGCAAGGAGATAAAGAGAGGTGTGACATGGGCTCTTTTGGCTCGTTGAAGACCAGTCGTGCCGCTGCATTCTGAATCATTTGTAGAGGTTTGATTGTGCTTGATGGAAGTCCAGCCAGAA